GGCTTTGTTTCTATGGAAATCACCTCCATTTTAAACATCATCAAAGATTAATTTTCCTCTTGCCTGTAAGTTTGCTAACTTTGGTATATCCAACAAAGGAGACGATCATAACTGCCTGTGATTTTTTGGCTTTTGTAGTATTTCTCCTTTCCCTTCTCTAGAGAAACGTTTTTTAATATATAGACCAAATCCATTGTCTCTTTGACTTCATTATCAGTTTCTTTTCTTGAACCCTGAATTTGTCTTTGCCACTTTATTACTACTGCTATTTTCAAGTTATCCATTAACCATTCAACAACTGTTTAACAAATGTCTATTATATCACTGCATGTTCTAGGTACTGGAATAAACTGATGGGCAAGAAAGACATGGTCGCTTCTGTTATAGAGACTAGTAAGACATATTTAATTGCTATTAGCAATTAGTAAGACTAGTAAACAAGTAAGACATATTTAATTGCTAATTGATATGTGATAACTGCTATAAAGAATAAAATGTCAAATTGCCAGGGAAGCTTTGGTGGTCAGGGAAGGCTTCCTGGGAGAGGTGATGTGTACATTAAATGTTGCTGGATGGAAATACGTTAGATGGATGTAAAAGGAATAAATGATGTTTCATGCAGAAGGAATCCAGGCTCTAAATTAGAAAGGGCATAATACATTCTAGGAAATCAAATTAAAATTAGTTTAGTAATATTAGATATGAAGTAGGAGGGAAGTGAGTTCAAGAGGAGTGGTGAGAGAATATACTCAAGTCTTAGGCAACAGATTTATTCTGAAGGTAATAGGGAGTCACTGAGTGACTTTGTGCAGGCAATGGCACCATAAGATTTGTGTTTTTAAAAGATGGGTTTGGCTGTGGTGTTGTGAATAGAGTGAGAAGTGAGGGGCAAGATTGGAGGCAGAGAGCTGAAGAATAGACAAAAGATGATGGATGTTTGAATTAGCGACAAAGCAAAAGGGGAGGAGGAGAAAAAGAAAAAAGTCCAGCTTGGATCTGCAGTACATTGTACTGATCAATTCATTAATTCAACACGCATTTATTATTGAGAATCTCTTTTTATGTGCCAGGCACATCCTAGGCTAGACGCTGAAGAGGCAGTGGTGACTCTGACACTGACAAGCTGGTTGAGAAGGTAGATCTTAAGTAATTAACCAAAGAAACGTATCACTATATCCTGTTAAAAAGTGCTATAGGGCTTCCCTGGTGGCGCAGTGGTCGAGAGTCCGCCTGCCGATGCAGGGGACACGGGTTCGTGCCCCGGTCTGGAAAGATCCCACATGCCGCGGAGCGGCTGGGCCCGTGAGCCATGGCAGCTGAGCCTGCACGTCGGGAGAGGCCACAACAGTGAGAGGCCCGCGTATCGCACAAAAAAAAAAAAAAAAGAAAAGTGCTCTAAAATGAACAACATCTATAAAATCTTGCTACTCAAAGAATAGTCCATGGACCAGCAGCAGCAGCATCACCTGGGAGCTTGTTAGTAAAGCTCAGTATCTACCTAAGAACTACTGAGATAGAATGTGCATTTTAACAAGATCCCTGGGGGGGGGGGGATTTACTTGCATATTAAATTTGAGAAGCAGTGCTCTAGAGAGTACTGAGCTGTGAGAGAAAACAACAGGTGGACCGGAACTCCTCTTGGGGGTTAGGGAAGGGTTCCCTGAAGAAATGGCCTCTGGTTGGCTAGAGAGGTAGGCAGGGGCTGGGTAGCACAAGACCTTGTAGGCTATTTTGAAAACTGTCATCTCTTCCTAATAGCAGCTCAAAGATGTTTAAAGGTTAGGTTCATCAGCTCAAGCAGCCATAACAAAATACCACATAGACTGGGTGGCTTAAACAACAGAAATTTATTTTCTCATGGTTCTAGAGGCTGGAAGTCTGAAATCACCATGCCAGCATGGTCAGGTTCTGGTGAGCGCCCTCTTCCTGGCTGCCTTCTTGCTGTGTCCTCACTTGGCTGAGAGGGAGCAAAAAGATCTCTCTCCCTGGTGTCTTTTCTTATAAGGACACTAATCCCATTATGTGGGCCCCACCCTCATGACCTAATTACCTCCCAAAGGCCTCATCAGCAACTGCCGTGCCATGGGGGCTTAGGGCTTCAACATATGAATTGGGTGGGACACAACTCAGTCCATAGCAAAAGTATGTGGAGTATTCAAAATCCTGTTTTTGAATTATTATTCTGGCTGATGTGCAGGAAAGGGATTGGAAGGATCAAGAATATATGTAGGACACCAGCCAGGAGGCTATTTCAATAGTCATGGTGAATGACACTGAGAGCTTGGACAAAGGTGCGCTGGTGGAGATGGAGCAGAGTGAAACATTTCAAAATAGTTAGGTGCTAAACTTGACAGGCTTTGATGATAAATTTCATATGGTGGTTGGGGAGAGGAGGGTCAAGAATGACTGCCAGATTCCTGGCTGGTGCAATTGGATGGATATGATATCAATTCTTGAGATAGGAGTCATGAAATGAGCAAGTTTGTGCATGGCATCTTGCTAAATGCAATGAACAATATAGAAATTGAGATAAGAATAGCCATCATTTAGTGAGCATTTATCACGTGCCAGCCACTGTGTAGACACTTTACATACATTACCTTCTTTAATACGCTATGCAAGCCTAGCCTTCTGAGATGGGAAGATCAACCCATTGCTAAGGGTTTAATGGTCCTGCGAAAATGAACAGTGCAGAATGCTTTAAAGGAGAAGGCTAGAGAAGACAATGTGAACAGGGAAGCCATCGCAGAAGAAAGAGGATGCAAGCTGAGGTTTAAAGGTTGGATAAGACTTTATTCAGTGAAGCTCTTGGGAGTCAGGTCTGAAGATGGCCTGTAGGAGCCAGGTCCTGGAGGCTCAGGCATGGCTCCCTCACAAAGTTCACTTAGAAAAACAGAGTAGAAAAAGTTGAGTGGAAAGGGAGGGCCCAGATTATGAAGGGCCTTGAAAGTCGGTAGTTTGGATTTTAAGAGAGAAGAATTGAATATGAAAGGAACATGACAGTGCGTGACAGGAAAACCTGTCTGGCAACAGGGGAGCTTGAACATGGGAGGCTTGAGTCCCAGAAGCCAGCTTATTAGCATTTGCATTAGCCAGGTAATAGGTCAGATTTGTGAACTAGCTAGAAGGAAAAAAATCAACCAGACTTAGTTTCATTGAATGAAAATAGAAGAATGGGCTTCCCTGGTGGTGCAGTGGTTAAGAATCCGCCTGCCAATGCAGGGGACACAGCTTCGAACCCTGGGAGGATCCCACATGCCGCAGAGCAACTAAGCCCGTGCACCACAACTACTGAGCCTGTGCGCCGCCACTACTGAAGCTTGCGCGCCTAGAGCCCGTGCTCCGCAACAAGAGAAGCCACCACAATGAGAAGACCGTGCACCGCGACGAAGAGTAGCCCCCGCTCGCCACAGCTAGAGAAAGCCCACACAGCAATAAAGACCCAATGCAGCCAAAGATAATAAAATAAACAAAAAAAGTTTTTAAAAAGCCTTAAAAAAAAAAGAAAACAGAAGAATGAGTAAAGAAGACTAAAATTTCAGGATTGATATTCATAAACCTGTGATATCCCATTTACATGCAGTATAATATTAAGAATATTTAAAAATAATTGTTTACCTGTTTGACCACAGAGATCATTTAAATTTCCAGAAAAATTATAGTAGATGAAAGACTCTAAGTTAGGTATATCTTGGATTTACACTGGGATGAAAAAAAATTGTAAGTATAAGGTTCAAGGGGAATAAAGTATGGTATTCTATTAAAGAAAGAGCCTACAAATCATATGAAACATTATGATTTTTAAGTGCAATTTTGCCAAAGTCAAAAGAAACCATTACATTCCACCCCAACTGTTAACTTCATGACAGATGCACCAAGCCGTCGCTTATAAACAACAGTGCGTTGGGTTCAACCTTTCAGATGAATGGGCCTTTGTTCCCACCTCGGTCTAGCCATGTAATCATAACGCAGGTTTTTTTTTCATTCAAAATATCGTGTTTAGCGGAAGGAAAATGTATGCTTTTTTGTGTTTTCTAAATGCCATTTATACTTTTTCAAAACGGAGTCCCGTTGACTGGGAAAGAAGTAAATAACCCTTACTAAGCTTTCCATTCCTCTTCTTTATCTCAGGGAACTTCAGCACCTCCAGACCATCCTTCGTGGAGTCGCACCTGATGGCGCCCCTTGGGTCACGTGCCATGTGTGTTCAGCAGTAAACATCCTCCTGTGCTGGCTGCTTCATTAATGACAATATGGACCAATGCACAGTATTTATCAAGTGTTACCCAAGGAACCTAAGGTTAGGTTAAGGCACACCTAGTCCTCTCAGGGGAGCTTGCCAAGAGCACAAAGCGTGAAGAGTACAGATATCAGTTTTATTGTTCAGAATCCCTTAACTGAAGTCCCGGGGAGTCTGAAAACTTAGGAGGAAAGATATATGGGCTACAGTAACTAACCACTGCAGTAACAGATGTTACGCGGGAAAACTGTGCGAGGGATATAAGCGTGTTTTGACTTTGACTATGCACTTGGGCTAACACATTCTTCCTCACTAATGGAAATCATAATGGAAAACGTTTTGTAAGGTATATTAATTTCCATGGCAGACATTGAATTGTTTTCCTTTTAAAAAAATATATGCTTTGTCCAATGGGGTAACGACTTCAGTTTCATGTACAACCTGGATTTTTCCTAAATCTGCAGAGTTTTCTATTTTCCAAAGTATTGACAATGCAGCCACAAGCTTTGGGCTGGCTGTCTTAAAGGGTGTTTTCCGGAGCTACCCCTCTCTCTGCTCTGCCAATTATGTGCCACTTTGTCTTGGTGCTCTGATTGCTTTCTTCTGAGAGGGAAATTCCTCTTTCATCAGTATGGATGCACTGTTTTCACACACTGCAAGTGCTGTGTTGCTGTGTCAGTCATCCTATTAGGGCCAGTTTCAGACGAGTAGGGCTGACGAACTTGCTGGGGATTGGCTGCTCACAGCTGGGAGGGATTTGTCGGAAGGAAGGGCTGCAGCTTACAGCAACAGAGTTTAGACTGTCTTTGCTTCATCATCTGAAGGCAAAATTTTCCAGATACGGCAGACGGCTCTCAGAGTACAATAAACAGGGAATGAGAACTATTTACATGGAAATTTCTTCCTCATGATGCAGCGGAGAAGCCTCGGCCGCTTGATTTTGCCAGATGTTCCTGGGGTTACTGTAAAAGGAAAGGAGAGGCAGAGCTAAACAAGGTAGGGAAATCATCCCCCCGTTCTTTTTTTTTTTTTTTTTTTTTTT